TGCAGCCCACAAGGTTCCTCTGTTCATGGGATTTCCCAGGCTAGAATATTGGAGCAGGTTTCCATTTCCATAGAATATGTTACAGGAGACCAAGGACTTTGCTTTACTCACCACTGTATTTCTAGCACCAAGAACAGCGCCAAGCATACTGCAAATTGGGCCAAAGCCAACAGCATTCTTGATAAAACCCAAGAGGCAATCTCTTGTGTCAGGAACAAGAGATGAAATAAAATCACAAAATACTGTGTGTAGTCTATTTACGCCACAGAAAATAACTGGAATAAAGAAAAATAAGGAAGATGTTTTACAGGGGTATTTCTGTAAATAGACCTTGCTCTATGACCTGGGATAGTTACTGACTTCTCAACCCTCAGATGCCTCATCTGTAAAATGGAGATAACAACAACACTTATCCAGCAAGGTTACAGTGAGAATTAGATGCAAAGTGGCAAATTTTTATTTTTTTATACTTTTCATTTTAATATTTGAAGTACAATAAAGTTTTAAAAAAATCTTCAATGTGTATGCAGATCAGTGAACTTCTCCACCTGTATACACACATGACCAAGATACAGAATATTTCCTGCACCTTGGAAGCTCCCTTCCGCCTCCTCTCAGGAAACACCCCTGGAGAGGTGAGTACTAGTCTGACTTCTATCAGCCAATTATGCCTGTACTTGAACTTCACAGAAGTAGAACCAAATAGTATATGCTTTCATGCCTGTCTTCCTTTGTTCAACTTTATATCCATGACATCCACCCACGTCATTGCACACATCAGGAGCACAGTCCTTCTTTAAGGCTAAGTAGCATTCCATGAGTATGCCACAATTAAGTATTGATGATATTTAAGCTGTTCCCATTTGGGGATAATAGAACAGTGCTGCCATGAATGGTTTTCTGGGTTCATGGGTATGTCATTTGGTGGAAATATTCAATTATCTGCAGAACGGCAACATTTTTTGTTTGAGGATTTTTGGGGGGGAGGGGGGTAGTAATGGTTAATAATAATACCTTAGTGAGAATCCAGGAAAATACAAGTGGGCAATGGGTAAGAGTATAAACTGAAATAACCTTTCTGGAAGACAATCTGGCAATAGCCACAAGAAGCCTAAAAATATCTATGCCCTGTGACTAACCATTCTACTTCAAGGAAGCTTCTTACTGAGTATTTACATGGCTCAGATCATCTTCTAAGTGTTTTACATGTGTTAACTCATTTGATTTATTCTAAGGAAATGATTAGAAATGTTCACAATTGGTTTGTTTAGAAGGCTGTCGACCATCCATCATTAGGAAATACAAGAAATCGTAAACAAAGTAAAAAACTAACAAGAGGGGAATGATTTCGAAATGCATTGTACTTCCATGAAATTAACCTCTGTGCAGCCACTGAAAATGTTTTTCAAGAACATTAAAGATAGGAAAAAGTAAACATTGATAAATGATAGGAAACAGTAGAATGCATAAATTCCTAGTTTTATTTTTTCCAGTTTTATTTTTAAAAGTACATGCCTATAACTTAAATGTTAAAATGAATATGTGACTAACAAGACTAGTAAAGATATTTACATCACAATAGGGAGAGGAAAGACATTATAATACAACTAAATTAGGGCAATGATGCAATTCTGCATAGGATGATACAAAAGCACTATGGAAAGACATCTAGCCTAGAGATTAGGGGGAAGGGCATTGTCAAGAAAGTTCTCCATTGTCTTACTTCCACTAAGGACTCTAAGAACCCCGTCTCCAGGTTGGAAGGAACCTACCCAGAAAAGTCCTGTTAATTCCTCAGCTCACCACCCCCAGGTGAATTATCAATTATCAGTTGTACCCTGAACCCATATTCTTTTCCTCCCTGGACCCATATTCTTTTTCCCTCTTACTTACAGAAAAGACTTAGGTAGACTTGAAGAACAGGATTCCTAAACACTAAGGATGCAATCAAAGTTCAAAAGCCTCAAACTTGGAGGAAGCTGGTTCCATCTGACCTCATGCCTGACTAAAAAGCCTCAAGGAAGGTCTTCCCAGTCAGGATAATTTACGGCAAAACCTTTTTGGATTTCCAGATGCCAGGAACTCCAGACAGAGTAAACCCAAATTTATACCAAAATTCACTGACTCCTTGAGATTAAAAATTTTTTTCTACTTGAAAAAATAAAAGTATCAAGAAGTTATCCAGGTAGAGATAACCCTGTGTATCCATTCTCCTATGCTTTCTTTCTCTTCTGCAGATGGACCATCCCTGGAAACCAAAGGAAAGTTGAGCACGGGGATTAAAGACAGGTAGGTGAGCTTAGCTGCTCAGTCATGCTCCACTCTTGTGACCCCGAGGACTGTAGCCCATGAGGCTCCTCTGCCCATGGGATTCTCCACGCAAGACTACTGGAGTGGGTTGCCATTTTCTTCTCCAGGATTAAAGATACACCATGGTATTTTAGGGGCCAATTCTCACATAAGCAAATGACATCTGTTTAATAACTAATACATAAGAACATTTTGCTGTGTTCACTAAACCATTCATTTGTGGTACAATAAATGGAATAAATATTGATTACAAGAAAAACATATGGACCCCAAATTACCAATATTTCACTGAGTTAAACTTGCTAATAAGATACTGCTTTTGCACCGTAGGGCATTATGTATCACTAAATTTTCTAACTTTTGACATCTGAATCATATTAAGTTCTCAAGGGTTGCTGGTCAAAAAAGCCCTGGGTTCAAAAAAAACATTTTTCAAAGTCACCTCCACAGATACAAAGTCACACAAATTCATATGACAAAGCAGCCCACACTCCTGCTCTCCCTCCTTCATACACGCCCTCTGTTTTCCCTTCAACCTTTTCTGTTTACAAATTTAATACTTAAATGTATTAACAAGAGTTCTCATAAACTACCTGCAGCTTTTCATGGTTATAGTGTTACCTAAATTAAGATAAATAAAATTCCAGTCTAAAATTTATTAACCTAGCAAACCTCTACATTGTACAATGGGATAAATTTCTTATGAAGCTAAAACAGTTCTTTGAAAAAATAAGTCTGCATAATCACCAGGGATTCGGGATTTATTCTGCACGGAACCTAGATTTCTGGATCATCTCTATTCTGGTTGCATATGATGGGAAAAGAGGATATAGAGATAGAACTGGCAAGACTTGTATCTTCCAATTTCAGTTTTATGTACAACCAAAATATAGGAAAAGCATCGGTTCCAAGTAACGAAAAAGAACTTTAGAGGATTTGTTTTTGATTACAAGCGGCACGGCTGTAATAACACTCCCAGCATAGACTGTGAAGAGGATCTGCCACCCAAAGCAAGGACGCTGTCTTACTTTTACGTCGACAATTTGTTGGTTTTACTCTCCTTCTGCTGTTGCTGTCAGAATTAAGCAACCTGAAAACGGATCAAGTGAAACTAGCTTACTTGAAAATTAAGCAAAACTAAGCGTACCTAGCGCTCAACACTGACAGGAACGCTGTAAGTGAACTGGCTTTCTCTCCCAGGGCCAGTAGAGGGAGACCAAGACATCTGGCCTGGTCGCGTAGTGTTTCTGCAAAATTGGGGAGGGGGGGGAGTGGAGGCTGTATTTAAATGTCCTGCTGTCAATCAAAGGACACTTCCTACAATCACAGTCACCATATCTGCTATTACCCGCGAGCGTACTCTCGCCCAGAAACACCCCGAAACGGGGCTCGGGAAACCTGCTTCACCTAAAAGTGACCGCAGGCCTTGCCACAACACCCAAATAAGGACTTGGGGAGCCCAACCTCAACTAGTTTCTTTGTTTAAATGCCTGCGAATCCCTCCCACGCCGGAGTCAAGAGGCTGTGGCGCCGCCCTTTATTAGCCTCACACTTTGATTACAAAACACACGAGTCGGCGGCTCGGCGGCGGGGGCGGCCCGAGCTCTCACAAACGTCAAACCCGAGACAGGCGGCGGCCGAGGCAGAAGGCGACGCTCGCCGCCCCCGCCACCCGCCCCGAAGTCCCCACCGGCCGGCCAAAGTTCGCCCGCTCCAGGCCCCCCGGGCGCTGGCCCCCGGATCTCCAGCCCCCAGTCGCCGTCCCCTCGGGCGATTGGGGACGTTTCACTCTTTGTAACAAAGTTTGAGCCGCGGCGCGGGGGCGGCCGCGGGGGATTGGGGCGCGAGGCTGTCCCTCGGGGCCCTGCTGCCCACTCCATCCGCTCCACCCCCGCCGGGACGGGCTGAGCCGCTCCGGCGGCTGGGGGCCGAGACCCGAGCCGCCCAGCCGCCCCGCCGCCCCGCCCGGGACCCCCGGCCCGAACTTCCGACTGGCATCTCTCTCGAGTCCCCGCAAGTGCCTCCTCATCTGTTGCTCTGTTTACTCCGCTGGAGCCCCGCCGGGCCGGCGCTGCCGACGCCCCCGTCCCAGCGCCCCGCGGCCGAGGAAGTTTGATAAAAAGACCGGGGAAGGGGGCGCGACCGCGACCCGCGGGCGGGCGAGCGGCGGAGGAGAGGAAGGCAATTTCTGGAGACCCCCGGGCCGGGGCCGGCGGCTCGCCGCCCGGAAGGAAGGAGCGGCGGCCGGTCGGGCAGGGCGGCCGGCCGGGTGGCGACTCCGGGCCGGGAGCCCCGGCCGGGCGGGGCGGCGGCCGGGCTGCGGGCGCGGCGGGCCGGGCCGGGCCGGCGCTCCGACCGCCGCCTCCGCTGGCGCCTGCCCCGGCCGCGTCCCCTCTCCCCGGTACCCCCCCTGCCAACTTCTCGGCCGGTCCCCTTTGTTCCCGTTTGTTGTGGCGACTCTTCGGCCGGCCGGGCGATCCCACCAGCCCCCTCTAAGCCCGCTGGGCGCCCGGCGAGCCCGGGGCCCCGCGCGCCCCGCTGCCCGGGCCGGGGGGCTCGGCACCCGGGCCCCTCGGCGCTCGGTGCGGCGCGGCGGCCAGCGGCGCAGGCGGCCGGCGCGGCGACGGCGGCGGTTGGCCGGTGGCCGGCGGCGGCGGCGGCGGCGGCGGGGCTGGAGGGGGTTTATTTACCTGCCGTGGAACCAGTCCTTGCAGATATCGCACTCGATCATGAAGCGGTTCACGTCGTACGGCTGCCGGCACACACAGTACACCGGCGGGGGCGGCGGGGCTGCCGAGGCCCGGCCCGGAGCCGCCACCGACACGGCTGCCGCGGCGGCTCCAGCTGCTGCTCCCGCGGCCACCGCCGCCGCCGCTCCGGCCATCTTTAAAAAACACACACACACACGCTCGCTCGCTGCTCCGCTTGCAGACTGGAGCGAGCGCAGCCGCCAGCCAGCGCCGCCTCCTGCAGCAGCCGGAGCAGCAGCCGCGGCGGCGGCGGCGGCGCCTCAGTGCGCGCGCGCGAGGCCGCAGCCGGGCCCGGAGGGGGCGGGCGGCGAGCGGCGGCGCGCGCACGCCGCGCGGGGACCGAGCCCGGCTCCTTCCGGCGCTCCGCGCGGGGCCGCGCGTGTCGCGCACGTCGTTCTGCCGCCCGGCGCGCGTGCCCGCTCCGCTCGCGTCGGCCGGGCGGAGGGAGACGCGCTGAAGGGCACGCGGGGCGGGGGAGGCGGAGGGAAGCAGAGGCTCCCTGAGGACACGCGCGGCGGCGCGGGGCGCGCGGCCCCGGGAGGAGGGCGGCGGGTGCGTGCGAACGGCCGGCTCCGGCATTTCTGAGTGACCGCGGAGGCCGGGGAAGTTCCTGCGCAGTGGAAAGCGGCGCGCTACGTCTGTGCCCTGGCCCTGGACCCGAGGGAATTAGAGCCCCACCGGGGCCACCTCCCGACCCCGGGAGTATCTTAAATCAATTAACCTCCGCGGGTCCGAGCCGAGGGTTAACAGCACAGCGATCTGCTTAAGTCCTGCTGAGGGGCAGGAGTATGCTAGGGAGTCATTCAAAGTTCCAAAAACGTCCCACCCGAATTCCCACCGACCAAGCCAGGAATGCAGTGTTGATGGAGCCACTGGTAGGTGAAGGAGGTTGTTCCCAAGAGGAATTCATTTAATGTCTGGGAGCCCAGAGGAACCAGTCTTGAAATGTGGTGGGTGGAGAAAGGACCGGAGAGGAATCTGGAGTGCTTATAAACAGCACGACTTAGATGCGAATACTTAGATGAGTTCCAAGTTTGGAAAACAGGAATAAAATTGTAAGTGACAGTGACACGTCGGAAAGGGACTATTAGAAAAACGGTAATATGGGACTTGGCAGATGATAGGCCATTAATAAGTATTTTTGAATGAAGGATGAGACTGATAATAAAAACAGCTAACACATCCAATAGAAATGGATTGCCTTGGTATCATAATTGAGGCGAGTTGGAAGGGATGTTAAGAATTATAGAACATTGTAAATTAACTATACTTCAATAAAATTATATATATATATATATATAGGAATTATGGGAACAGATGTTCACAGCTACATTTCGAAGGCATGTCTATCATTGATTTAAAAAACAAACAAAAAAAATCCTGTAGCTGCCTTCTCACTCAGCCCAAGGCAGAGAATCACTGATACCTAGTCTAACCTTTTTATAATTGAGGAAAGCACTTAACTTGCTTAAAGTCTCAGATCTGGGCTTGAACTAAAGTTTTTAAGTTTCTTGATTCCGCAACCAGTCCTTTTTCTACCACACCATTGCTTGTCTCATATTTTGCATGAAAAGAAACACCTGGAAGTCAGAGTTGACCATAGAATGAATGAGTTGGAAACCTGTTTCTGCTAGTGAAAAAAGAAAAGTCACTGTAATTTCGGCATAAATTTAGAGGCATCCTGGATTGGGGTAGTGAAGAGCCTTACATTCAAATCCTGTTTTGTCAAAGCTGTGTGACTTTGAGCGGGTCACTCTGTTTTCTCTTGAATTAGATTTTGAAGATCTCTTCGAAGAAAAATTATGGATAATAATATCTTTCTTAACTACCTCACAGAGACTTTATCTCAAGCAGAAGAGACCATGTATTTTTAAGAGTACACTGTAGAAGATGTGTGTTGTCACAGAAGGGGAGGCAGTGGAAGCTGTCATGTTGGTTCGTGATGAGAAGGGCATTCAGACAGGCACGTGGCCTGGTATGGGGGTGCTCTTGGTGCTAGAGGACCACCTGGCCTTGGGATGTCAGCGTGGATGGAGTGAGAGGGTAGCCAAGCAGAGGAGGAGGCAGCAGTGACGATCATAGATGGGTTATGTACAAGAGGATTGGTAAGTAAATATATTAAGGAATTTAAATGGGAGCTAATTTCTCACTGTTGAGAAAGAGAGTTAGAAATATGGAAAGAAAACTAAACTGAAACTTGTAGTAGTGAACTGGTAATGGAGGTATCAGTCTATTTCTATTTCTAGAAATAAATATAGGTATATAAGTCCGTGCATACTCTGTCCATCAAGAGAGTCGGGACACAACACAATGATGAGGGCGTCTAGCCCAGATCTTGGTTTCTAAATACTATTCTCCTCTTCATTTTTCTTCTTGGCCAGATGGCTGATTCCAGGACTGGAGGAGAGAAGTAAAACAAGAGACTAGAGTCCCTATTTGTGCCAGAAAACAAGGATATGTTCAAGAATGATGGGGCATGTCAAAAGGACACAGAATTTTGTGTCCCAAATCTGGGACCAAAAAAATGTGTTAAAACCCATTGAATAGCACAGGAAACTATACAGATGTAAATCAACACAAATTGAAAGTTTGAAAATGATTGGAATATTTACATACTTTCAAAGTATCTACTCAGAGAACTCTTACTAACTACAGAGAGAATTAAAGTAACTTGACAGTGGAGAAGTCTAACAAGCACCACCTTTTCAGACTTCAATGGACGTCAGCAATGGGACAAATCAGACACTCACTCCTGAGAGGATCCAGTGAGGAAGCTAGCATCACTTCTGTGTGTTTTCACCTGGCCTACTTAGTTGAGTCTCCAGTGGGAAATGCAGCTAGTTTCAAAGGCACATCAGAAAAATCTGCAAGAATATAAATACTATAAGGCATATAGATATGTAAGGAAAGATTAAAGAAATTTAAACACAAAGATTGGACCTTGAAAAGAAAGGGATGAAGGCTGGACCTCTGAATGATGCTGAAATTTTAGTGACAAGCTCCATCCCTAATAATTAAGAGCATGTGCTTGAATTCCATAGTCTCCTATCTCTGTGGCAACTAGCTATTGGACTTTAGTTTTCTTATTTGAAGGCGTGATAAGAATATCTACTTCACACAGTTCAGTGCATTAAATGAGATAACAAAATGCAGGTCACAATTCCTGGTACATACTAATCCATATAGCTGTTAATTATGAGTGTGGCTCAGTGGTAAAGAATGTGCCTGCTAAGGCTGGAAACTCAGGTTTGACCCCTGGGTCGGGAAGATCCCCTGGAGAAGGAAATAGCACCCCACTCCAGCATTCTTGCTTAAGAAATCCCATGAACAGAGGAGCGTAATGGGCTACAGTCCATAGGGTCACAAAGACTCAGACATGACTTAGCAACTAAACAATAATAATCTGTAATTATTTTATTTGTTTATTAATAATAGTAGGACCGAAGGAAGAGAAGCTAGAAAGTTAGGAGGGAAGATTAGGAAAGTATTATCCCAAAAACAAGGGGGAAGAGAATTTCAGAAAGAAAATATCTTGAGGAGAGACACCCAGCTCCATGCCAGCATTGATTGGCAATGACATGGGACTCCCTCGGCCTTTCTGCTTTGAGGGTCCTCTAGTAACTACCATGGGCTTTCCTGATAGCTCAGTTGGTAAATAATCCACCTGCAATGTAGGAGACCCTGGTTTGATTCCTGGGTCAAGAAGATCCACTGGAGAAGGGATAGGCTACCCACTCCAGTATTCTTGGGCTTCCCTTGTGGCTCAGCTGGTAAAGAATCTGCCCTCAATGCGGGAGATCTGGGTTCAATCCCTGGGTTGGGAAGATCCCCTGGAGAAGAGAAAGGCTACCACTCCAGTATCCTGGCCTGGAGAATTCCATGAACTGTATAATCCATGGGGTCACAAAGAGTTGGACACAACTGAGTGACTTTCACTTTCGTAACTACTATACATCTTACTTAGCATTTATATCAAGTGTAAGTCATTTGTGGATTTTTTTAATACTGCACTTATCTGTAAACCCTCATTTCTCTGATAAGAAATGTTTGCTCCAGCCTGACAACTTTGCTTCTCTCTACTGCCAATACTGGTCTATCTCCATGACCATGTCTGCTAGTCCCTTCCTCAGTATTCCCTCTCCTTCCTTTTTCTTCAAAACCCACCTTCTCTGACCTCTGATTCTTCCATGTTCCTTTCTATACAAAAAATTTAATTTGCATATCACTGGTGTGCTCCTCAGGCCTTCAGTCAGTGCCTATACTTTTTTCCCTAGAGAATATTTACTTTTCTTCTTAGAGATTCAGAAAAAGAAGGAGCTTGTTTCCAAAACACTATCCATACTTGAAGAAAAAAACAGAATATTAGAAAAAATGAATAACTTTGCTGTACCCCTGAAAGTAAACATTATAAATCAACTATAGTTCAATAAAAAGAAGGAAAGAACTGTAATTTATGAACTTTAATCCTGATTGAAAGAAAGTCTAGACAATATAGTTAGGGGTATTTGGGGATATCTTAGTACAACCTGTAGATAACATTAAATAAACATTCATTTTCTTTGGTGTGAACAATATTGTGCTTTTATAGAAGAACACCCTTATTTTTAGGAGACATATGCTAAGATATTGATGCTTTCTAACTGTGATGCTAGAGGAGACTTTTGAGAGTCCTTTGGACTAAAAGGAGATCAAACGAGTCAGTCCTAAAGGAAATCAACCCTGAATATTCATTGGAAGGACTGATGCTGAAGTTCCAATACTTCGGCCACCTGATGTGGAAGAGCCGACTCATTGGAAAAGACTGATGCTGGGAAGGATTGAAGGCAAAAGGAGAAGGGGGCAGCAGAGGATGAGATGGTTGGATAGCATCACCCACTCAGTGGACGTGAGTTTGAGCAAACTCCAGGAGATGGTGAAGGACTAGGAAGCCTGGCATGCTACAGTCTACAGAGTCGAAGAGAGTCGGACACGACTTAGCAACTGAACAACAGCAACAAAACTAAGGCTTTAAAAGTAAAGCATTATGATGTCAGCACTTGCTTTGAAAGGTTCAGCAAAAAAAAAAAAGGAAAAGCAAGATGGAGATGAATGAAGCAAATCCGATAATATTAACAATTGTTGAATATAGGTAATG